TTAGAGAGTACCTACAGGACCAAACCCTGACTTTTTAAGGTTATTGCCTTGATAACATAAGGCACCTGAAAATGTTTTCATTTTCCCTGTTATTTCACAAGTCCTTAAGTTAGCTCCTGATGTTCTTAGGCTGTAACTCTTTCTCCCTCCCTTTCCCACTGAAATTTCTTTCTAAGCTTCCCTCTCTGCTCCCTCCTTCTCAGTCTCAAGAGCTTCAGTGCAAGAACACAACTCACAGAACGCTCCTGTCCCTACAGATTCCCTCATGTATTGCAGAAGATAAAGACTTACTGTTGCCACTGACAGTTACCAGTCCTCAACTTCCTGCCCCAGAACAGCTCAGAGCTCTGCAGGAGGTTTGCATCCCAGCCAGAGGCAACTGCAACGCAGGGCAGAGACAGACAGACAACTTTGTACTATGCAGGCGAGACATGAATTGAACGCCACGCTCCCAGTGGCACCTGAACGAGTCTTGCGTCTCGCTTCTCCACATCCACAACATAAGACACATCCTAGGTGCACATCAGGGGCTCCCTTATTGTATTCTGAAGCGCTTAAGTTGAAGGTCTCATTCCAACACACAATTAAAACTTGTTCTGTGACAAGGAGATCTGTGAGAAAATTCTCAGGGGTTGAACACCCTCTTTATAGAGCTATGCAAGAACAACTTTTGCGCTGTAATCTGAAGCTTGATTTACTTCGATCTATGTGTAGACATTTTTATTCAAAAAACAGAAGAGACAACACATCAGATAAAAAAAGGCTTAAAATCCACTTTAATAATGCATTCCTGTAACATTCCTCAGACAAACTCAAACTTGTTAGTGGGACAATTACAGCTTGTGTTCAAACAGTTTACACTAAATGAAAAATCTTGTAGTACTTCTACACAAAAGACAGGCAAGGTTAAGATTATACAAACATTTGTTTCAGTTAAATCTTCAGCATGAGATACAGTATCTTTGTCCAATAGATTGTACTTTACTACCAGTAAAAATAAACAGCGATACAACACATTATCAAAGAAATCCATCCAAACAAGAGCTTCCCAGCCATTCAGGCTGCACATGGCGGTCAACTACTTTAAAGAAACAGATGGTCCAGACAAAAATAATAACTACAAGTTAGGAGGGGAAAAAAAAAAAAAAGAAATAAACAAACATAAAATCTCCCCCAATTCACTACATGATGGACCATTTGGAGTTACAGAAATTTACAGAATCATGGGAGCTGCAAAGTACCCAGATGCTGCCCTAGTTCTCCAGAGACTTTCCTTTGCCCTTGAGCAAGGTATGCTACACTAAAAAAAACAAATGCCAAGACAGACTGCAATTTTATCTAGTTTACTCTCAGGACTCCAGCTACAAATAGGAAACTGGAATGGTCAAGGCATTAGGGTCCTTCCCAGATTTTACCGTTACTGAACAACCATGGCAGCTTCCCAGAATTCATTTTTCACATTGAAATTATAGGAATGCACCACATGAAATTTTCTAAAACCTTTATCAGACTGCACTCCCCTTGTCCTAGAGTGGCTTTAGCAAAACAGGCCCTAATTAACTATTTTAATATCCTTCCCCCCCCCCTAGCCCTGACCGCGCCCCCCCACCCCCCTGGCCAAATTGAACCCTGTATGGCCTGCCAAGATTCCTTTCCTCTTTGGGGCATGTGCAGGGAGTAGCTTAATCCTGTTAGTATCTACGACGCTTGTTAGGGCCAAAATCACCCCCTGGATTTCCTCTGTTGAAGGCAGGTGGGTTCCCTCCCATCGCTCCAAGGCCTTCCATCGTGCCACCCTGGCCAAAGCGATCTGCAGGCGGTGGTGGAGTCTTGTAATGAGGACAAACACAGAAGAGGCAGGAAGAAAAACAAGGAACAAAAAAGGGCAGTTAAAAGCCATTTGAGTTGATTCAAATTCTACCAGGATTCCACAATTTCAGCTGACCTTGCTACAAACCTTCATCCCACCAAAAATATCTCCAAAGCCCCAAAACTGGACTGAGAGGACCGTTGCAGGACAAAGTCTCTTTCCCCATGTAACTTGTAGTCAAGCATACTGGAACACGGTTCGCACCATCTCACAGACTAGTGCCCTGCTGTGGAGCATCCGAGTAATGCAGTCTGGGAAAGGAGAACTTCACATTTCCACCATATTCCTTCACCCAAACTGAACACAAATGAGGAGTATACTGATACTACAGCACTATCACAACCCAGGTTGTGTACACAATACTCCAATTCCAAAATAAGTCTGCAATATTAGTCTTGCGCCCTGATTGTATCCTGTTATTTCCATTCCTTTGGCTCTCCCCTCTCTCAGCTGGGTTAATGCTATTGCACTGCCTCTTCCTTCCAGCAGAGAGAAGATGATCAAAGGATAATTCAGGTTGGAAGGTACCTCAGGAGGTCTCTAGTCCACTCTCCCGCTGAAAGCAGAGTCAGCTATGAGGTCAGACTAGGTTAGTCACAGCTTTATCCAGTCGCGTCTTGTAAACATCCATGGATGAAGACTGCACAACCTCTCTGGGCAACCTGCTCCACTGCCTGAATGTCCTCGTGGTGAACATGGTACTTCCTTTGGGGAAGGTACTGGAGGGAACCACTGCCTCTTCCTTCTTCCCAGACTGTGGCTAAGTGACTATGTAGAGCAGAGCCGCTTTACAGCAGGCTCCTGGGTTCCATTTATTCTTTGTCCACAGGCTTACAGCAGCGATACATACATATGCAATTTAATGTGACATATACACGCACATCATAATTGATATTACCACTGTAGATGACTCCATGGTATTGTCTGGTTCTACAGAACACAGACCCAAACTTCAGTAAAATTGTAAACAAGGAGGTCCCAGGGACTCTCAATGCTCACTTCGCTGGCAGTGCAGAAGAGGCACTAGCAGTAACACAGCACTGCTTCTACCTTTTTCCCTTCTCTACAGAGCAAAAATTCTGAGTAAGCACGAAATTTTCCTGTAGGACACATCACAAGGAAAGACATTGCAATCACTCCAAACAGCTGGAGCAAACATGCAGGGTAACTGCTCCCTACATGAATAAAAAGCTGGAATACAGAGACCCAGTAGCTCCTAAAACCAGGCACATGGTCAGTTTCCAAAAAGACTATACATATTTCTGGTCATTAGAGAAACAGCTTATTGCTTTTTGGTCTAAATGGTATTATTTCATCATATTGATCTGAACTCACCTCCCCTTTCCATTCCTCTCATCTTCCCCCTTAATTTCCTTGTGTAGTACACATTCCTTTAACCTCAGTGCTTATAGCCAAATAAAATCGTTCTTTACGACAAAAAAAATTCTGAGATGTAGCAGTCACAATAGATCAAGAAGTCTAAGTAAAAAGGTTTGCAGGAAAATTGTTTATTAGACCAATTGATATAAACTGCTAAAGGAAGATCAACTTTCAGGACAAGCTTGACTGACTGCTGCTGTTTCTGCTGCTGACTGGAAGTGCTGACACTGAGAGAGGATCAATCCCTTCTATGACAGAGAGGAATGACAGATGCTACAGAAGCCTTTGCGTACTGTAAACCTCTGCAGTAAAGGTTAAAACTAAATTAAATATAAAAATTAAAAAAGGCAAATAAATAAGCATAACCTCCACTGATTCTTTGCTCTTTACCTCCTCAGCAAATTAGCTGAACTCATTTTAGCATACTCACTATTACCATACTCTTTTTAGTGTATTAGCCTAGGAGATAATTGTTTTTAAAACTGGTGATGGACAGAATCTTCCTTAAAACTTTGCTTTATGCCTGCAAGAATCTACTCTCAAAACACTCTCATTCAACAAAGTGCTTCCCATCATGCCATTTAAAAAATAACTATGTATTATTGCCAAGATCTTTGAAACAAATGTTTTAGCACTAGCTATCTTGGAGGTAAAATAAGTAGACTTGGCTCAATCTCCTGAAAATTACCAACTAGGACCAAGGCAAGATGAACTTCTAGGGATTTAAAGCAACAGGTCTAGGTAGACAAACAAGCTTCAACTTTAGCAGCATAGTGCTTAACAATGAAAACAACATAATCTGCATTTAAAAGCTGTGCACAAAAAAACAGATGGAGATACACTACCATTCCCATGGCTCCATCAGGTATCATAGCTCCAGGACCAGTCGCAGGAGGTGCAGCAGCTGGGACATTGGTACCACCCATAGCTCCTCTATTGTTCATGCCAATGGTACCTGGAAAAGAATACTGAAGAATAGTCCCGGCAGACACAGTGACTGGAGTCTACTCATCCCTCCAGAGACACAAAACACATCTGTAAACTCCCCACAGTGTTAGAGACTAGGACTCTGTCCCTGAATATTAACTAGCTTTGCACTATTAGGTCAAGACAAACTGACCTTACATTCTAGTATTATCTGAATGCAGGCTCTAACAGTCACCATCTTCATTAACCACTAAGCCCCCATCGCGTTTTCACTTGCTCTTGTACATGTGGCCTGAAACTCTAAATCAGGTAGTCAAAATATGGAAATACAGCAACCAAGATTATTTCCTGGACTCAAGGTCTACCCCTACATGTTGTACCAGTTTCTGTATTAGTACAAACTTCTGAAGCACACTATGGGTCTGACAGCAACTTCAACCAGGTCTTTTGCTTACTGAACTGAGTCTTTCACAAATGTACAGTACTGCCTCATACTCAAATTTTCTTATGTGTCCTGTCACTGAACTGTGAGAAGATTACTGAGTTTTTAAATAAGAAGCCAATAAAGTAAGATTACTCAAAAAACATACAGATTTTGCAAAGGAGGAAAGGAACGTGCATAGAACAAAGACGGCCACAGAACACTCTTACCTCCCATACCCATCTGTCCCATTCGCATGTCTGGTGGCTCCCTCTGGAAAAAGAGACACTCATTTCAAATGATAAAAATTTAGGCTTTTAAAAAATGTAATTATACAAATTCAATGAGTTCTGGAGTTTTACTACTGAAAACCATGTAGAAAAGTCATTCCCAGGGTAAATTTCAAAAGAAGATCTGAGCTACCTTCACACGATAACTGCTGAACAAACAGGTCTTATTTAAAATATCTCATTCTGAAAGTCTGTTTTTCACAATCATGGTAAAACATCCAGCAGCAAAGCTGCACGTGCAGATTTTACCAAACAGCAGCATAAAAAGAGATCTGATATCTGGATGGAAAGATCTGCTGAGCAGCAGTAACACATTAAATAGAATTAGTTTTGCTACTTCCTCAGCATAGCTAAGAAGCTTTTCTTGTTAAAAGGAATGCAAGCTTACATAAAGACGCAGCACTGGGTCACTTGCATTAAAATACCAGTTAGCGAGTTCAGTTTCTCTTTAATTAACTGAACATAGGGGACACGCCACAGATCTCCCTCACTGCAAAGCTAGGAGCACCTCCTCACCTTCAGTGAGGGTACAATTTTTTCCACAGCGGGAACTGAAGAACAGATTTCACTTCATCTGTAGTCTCAGTGTCACAATTTATCATGAGAAGGCACTATTATTTAGACAAATCAGAAGTTCTGCTACACAGGGTAATATGCACACGTTTAGGTGAGTCTCATGGTTTTGACCCTTTAGGTTTGACACATATTTAGCTATTTTGCTCAGGGGCCAATTTTTCACTAGGATACATAAACACTTGCCCCCCAATTGCATTGATGCCACTATACTACCTCAGTGGCACTACAGCTGGCTCCACAATAGCAAGCTGCCGGGACTGGAAATTAACTGTAAGACAGTTCTTTAGAGAACTAGAGATACTGCTATTAAAAGGCAGGTTACCACACATTTTACATTACAAGAAAATACTTGACCAACTGATTTTTAAATACAAGCAATTACTATGCCTGCAGCAGTGCCTAAGTTGGGATCATTTCACCTAAGCATGACTAAGACTGACTGCAGGCTAGGGATATAGCCCTGTATACGACTGTAACACTGTAGCAGTACTTCAGGACAGTACGTCTTTGTTACTGTTGCTAATGAGAGTCCTACATGAACAGCAGTGGGACAGTAACTAGGGTATTTATATTTTCCAGACTAAACTGTATTAAGATTGGAGAGAGTCAATAATTTAAGGCAGCATGCACTAAAGATATAGAGTCCCTCAAACAACAAGTTAAGCATTCACAGAAAGCCCTGTGCTGTGGAAGGGCAAAAATTTAATGCCAGCATCCAGATATAATGGGAAGGCAGAAGCACTCATACCGCATCAGCAAAATTCCCTTTAAAGCCTTCCTGCTGGCGTCTCATCATCTCTTCTTGCTGCCTTCTCATTTCCTCCTCACGGCGCCTGCGTTCTTCCTCTTGCCTGCAAAAAAAGGTCTGAGGATGCTCAGCACAACATACACCAACCATTTGCATCACAGTGTTGCAGTGCTGCCTAATGGGTCTTGTTTGGAAACCTACAACTTTAAGAACATTTTGCTGAGGCTGTAAAATATTAGGTACCTCGTGATGAAAACAGAAACATGTATGTGCACCAAGACATTTCCAACACTTTCAGTTTTACGGAGTTCATTATAAAACGCAACAAGAGCACACTCGTGTGTATCTCATAAGGAAGGTCTGAGGGAGCTGGGTTTGTTTAGTCTGGAGAAAAGGAGGCTTAGGGGTGACCTTATTGCTCTCTACAACTACCTGAAAAGAGGTTATAGCCAGGTGGGTGTTGGTCTGTTTTCCCAAGTAACCAGTGATAGGATGAGAGGAAATGCCCTCAAGTTGTGCCAGGGGAAGTTTAGATTGGATATCAGGAAAAATTTCTTCACTGAAAGGGTTATGAAGTACTGGAACAGGATGCCCAGGGAATTGGTGGAGTCACCATCCCTGGCGGCATTTAAAAGTGTAGATGTGGTGCTTAGGGACATGGTTTAGCAGTGGACTTGGCAGCGTTAGGTTTACAGTTGGACTTATGATCTTAAAGGTCTTTTCTAACCTAAATGATTCTATGTACACAGCAGCTCCCAAATACACGTTTACTACATGCAATATATTGCATACAAGCCAGACAGTTCTCAAGCCCCTTCTATTACAGAAGTTGTCTGGAGATATGCCTGGAGCTTCTCAAAATGACCCTGTGACAAGGAAGATCTGGAATGGAGAGACAAATCTCTGAGACTAAGGTAACCCCCAAACAGAAAGACAGATGCCAGAATGGCGTTTCCCAACCTGCAGCACTGAAGCCACCGAATCACTGCACAGATTCAGATTTTTTTATCTGCCTCAGCCAAGGAGCTAAATTGAGACACAGAACTGTAAAAAACCAAATACTAATCAGTGGAAGAAACTCCTAACTCTTCCACCAACTGTACATTATCCCTATGAAAAAAACAAAAACAAAAAACAAAATAACAGCCACACTTTAGGTAGTAATTAAATTGTCACACTGAACAATTAGGTGCAGTGAAGAAGCATTTCATTCCATAATATTATGAATTCAGAGTATTTCATAACCTGCCCCCTTACCTGAGTTCCAACTGTTTACGTTTTTGTACTTCTTGATTATGCAATTCTTCCATTCTCCTCAGTTCTTCCTGGCGTCTCATTAAATCTGTAAAAGACAACAATAAAAAAAAAAAAAAAAAACAAACTCATCTCCAGTGCCACCCCTTATCAATTCCTGAACTAGAATCATAACACACAAGAGAATAGGGTAACAGAGCCTCCAGCAATCCAGTAACATTTCTCCATTCATTTGCCGCTACCATGCTTGGTTACAAGCCAAGCAGCTATACCACAGCTCACCTTCTGTGGGCTCTAGCCAGTCTATGGAGCTACCCACCTCTGGATGTTGCAGGGCCATGTTCTGATACTGTATTTATCTTTGATTGGTACCTTGCCGCATGAGCATAACTTGGTGCTCATGGCGAGCTGCTTCCATTTCCATTTCCAGCTTCTCTCGAGCTTCCTTTATGTTGCGGTCTACTTGCTCTTGCTGCTGCTTCTCCATTTCTATTAGAGCCTTCCAACGCATGGCATATTCGTACTCAAAGCTGCCAGGCTGTGCAAATCGAGGAGGCTGCTCACGCTCCCTGTCAAACAAGGAAGAGCTACTGAATGCTTCAACAGAGCAAGGAGGAACCAAGAAAAATACATTTGTGTGTTAAATGCAATGGCAGATCCTTTTAACAGTCAGAAATGCATTTATTAGCACAACAAATAAGGAACCACTTTGTCTTCTCCTTTCTCACAAATAGCTATGTCCGAGATATCAGTTTGTCTGCTCCTCAGGAATCATCTTATTGAAAGGAGAAACTTAGGCAGAATCCTCCTGCATGATTAATTATACATGGAAACTGTCCTGTCCTCCTCCATAACAAGCAATGCCACTGCTTTCGTAAGACAGCAAAAGATTCTGAGTAAAGACATTTCAAAATACTCTTGAAAGAAACAGCCTTTGTTCCTGCTGCACATCTTACGGACAGATCCATTCCAGAAACAAACACTGCCCAAACATGTGTTTTTATTTCACTAACCTCTGCAGCCCCTGCACCTGGAGCACATGACTATTCCTAATGCAGCCTCCCAGCTCCTGAAGCTCCCATCTTCCTTACTAGAAAAATTAATGAGCTCACATGGTTTACTAATTCCCACTGCTCGGATCACAGGATACCTACTCACACTGGGAAGCCTTCAAAGACCATGGACTTATACCCAGATAGCTCTACAATTTCCTAACGCTATTCACATCATTGCCTAAACTTTCACTGTGGGTTCAAATTTGTTTCCTCTACAGACTTTCCATAATACTTAGAGCAAGCAACTTAAATCTTTGCTTCAGCTTCTCATCAGGAAGGGGATCTCACATTATCTCAAACTGACACAATTTTTTATTCCAACAACTGAAATGGACTTATGTGGATCCAAAACCACTGCTTTCTTCAAGGTAACCATGGCAAGAGAACAGTGTATGTAACTCTCTTTCCACGGTCAGATCATGTTTACAGAAAAAAAAGGACCTTTAGTAGCACTGATGAGCCACCCTCCTAAGACCGAGGCACTAGTCAATGTCCTAGTCCACAGACAGTCTCATCTCCTGTTGCATGGCAGGCACATACTTGTGGTACTGCTGGTTTTTGATGACTAGTTTCTCTGGTAGTCCCTCCTCATCATCATACTGATCCATGGGCTCCACAGTGACAGGCCGAGGGAATCTGTAAAGAAAAGATGAGGTGCTTTCAAGAAAATTCAAGAATGAGCTTGCAGTGTAGGAAAGCATATGTACTGTGTCTGCACTTATAAAATACTGCTTTTAGCACTGCTCAAAGAAATTCAGAGCAGTTGGGGATCTCAACCAAACTGAAACCACAAATCACTTAGAACACTTTCTTTCTTTCTTTCTAGAATAGGCGCTGAACTGTTCATCAAAATCCTTGTTGAATCCAAATCAAAATTGTACTGAAAGAAGAATATTTACAGTTACTGGTTCAAATTAACAGCTTAACTGGAATCTGACATCTTCCAGTAGGATGTACTCGGCATGAAGTCTTGTAGTCCCTAGAGTCCTTGTAGTTTTCTACCTTTCCTCCCTTGCTACATGGCCAACCATGGGCTGCACAAGTCCTTGTGTGCCTTTTTACAGCTGCCTAAAGCGAAGAGTAACTACACTGCTCCTCACTGGAGGTCGCTGGCTGTACCATTCAGTCATACTCTCCTGGCGAGTCCACCATCTGCCATTATTGCCAAGCAGCAATGCTCTGTAAGTGACTCTTGGGCCCTGTCTGAATCCTCCCACCCCTGCCCCCATGAAATCCACTGGTGCACTTCACAACACAGACACTGCACATGTGTGCTTCTGTCCTCTTGGTTTCTGTGTGCAGAAGAAAGTATTTAACAGAAGCATCCTTAATCTCTGAATTAACTCCCCACGACAGCACTGACACTGCTCATCCTCAGCACAAAGCAGCACCACAGCTTCTCGTTAGCTCCTCAATCCTGAACTACCAGAGCTGAGGAAATGGAAAAGAAATGATCATGCTATGCCAAGCGGCAAGCGGTGCCCAAACTCCAGCAAAAAGGCAGGATATGAGAGGCTAAAATCTCTCTCCTCAGCTGAAGATCCACAATGTAGCTTTTCACTTCGATGTAACCTAGTCCATTATTAATAGTCTTATTTTCCAATGTGAACCAATTCCAACCAGTTTATCTAGCTGGTCATGAACTAGGACAAACTAGAACAAATTTAATCAAAACCAAACCATAACTAGAAATAAGCAACATACTGGTTTGCTGTCCTAGATATCAGAATCTAATACACTGATAGCTACAAAAAGATTAAATGTTACCCTCAGGTACTCTCAGTTATACACTAGTGGAGATTAGTTTTACATGATCACTTGAAAAAAAAAATATCTGTTTTCATGGTTCTTTCAGCATATAGACTTCCGAATGAGCAAAAGCTCCCTAACAGTAATCCTTCTGCAGAGCACTACACACTATGCTTCTTATCCCCAAAGAATCTCAGGGAGAAACACATATATTAAAAAAAAAAACCAAAACATGCTTTTTGAAACTGAACGTGCTTGTGTACAGCTGTGCCATATGCAGGCCTCCAAGAAAAAGGAGAGAAGCGAGAAGCACAAAGCTTATAAAATTACTTTAGAAATTAGCAATATAGCCCCAGTTTCAGGAAGTAGCCTATTCACAAATTCTAGGTGCATACATAAAAATTACTGTATATTTTGTATTTCCAAGAGATCAAAACCGGCTCCCTCTTACTAGTTAGAGCAACAAGCCATGCTCTGTGGAACGCACCTAGAATTGGTCATTTACTTTAGCAAGTTCACATAATTCTGCAAGAACATGCTTTGTTGCCTTATGACACTGAAGCACAAGGAAAACAGTTTATTCTGAAAAGTCCAAATAATCCAATCTACCTGATCACCTTCTCCAACAGATCCCATGCCCACAGTGGTGGATCAACATTGCACTCCAGCAGTGTATGCTGCTGAGTGGAGACCCATCCCAAGACTCCCCTCTGAAGCAACCCAGAGTGCACAATTAACACACTTGAGCTTCGTTTCCAACAAATGATACGGATGGTCTCTGAAATAGCTCCTGCTTCTTAAAGGCTGCTTTAATTGCCCTAAGAAGGCTTTATCAAGAAAGAGTTTATTGGGAAGTTTTATGCACTTACCCCACTAGCAGCTTCCCAGAAGCAAGTTTTCAGACCTGAGTTTCAGCCCAGACTCACTCTTGTTGGAACAAAGCTACGTGAAGTCCTCCCCGGGCAAATCACCTACCACCTCCTGCCCCATATCTCATCTGTCCCGCTCTGGCATTAAGAAACATTGGTCACAAGCCAATGTCACCCATCAACCTGCACACATGCCAGTACAGCACTTCTCACCCTCCACACTTACGTAGTTAGCAGGAAAGACCCATCGCTACATCTATCCAGGGCTTTCCTAGCAGCAGGCTTCCCTGAGAACTCCACAATGCCTTTCCCAGAGGACCGTCCTCTGTCATCCACAATAACCACAGCCCTTTCCACCTGGCCAAACACTGAGAAGGCTTCCTCCAGGAGCTCATTGGACACAAACTGAGGCAGGTTCCTGACTGTCAGCGATGCGCTGTGGCATGCAAAACGCACTCTTAGCTGCTTCCCACGTAGAGGCATGTTGTCTAGTTCCACCTTTGCAATCTCTGCCAGAGTGCGAGTTTCCTGAAGACAAAAAAAGTTATCATTAAAACTCTCAATGCAGTACAGAATCAGCCAGTCACAGTCACAACAGTCACAAGCCTATTTCCCCTGAACAAGTACTTCACAGAGAGGAACAAATAATCCTCCCATAGCACGGTAAAAAGTGTCCTAACAAACCGTAGCTATTCTCTGTTATCAACGACTCTAGCTGAATAGGCATGTACAGAGTTTGGGGAGAAAAAAAAAATAAATGTATCAGACATAAGCTTAATCCAACAGCCAGTATGAACTAAGCAGACAATTAAATGATCATTATCTATCAGACATAATTATATTAAGGCTACAAAGCATGCCTTTTTTTTTTTTAAATAAATACATTTAAAAAAAAAAAAACAACCACCAAGATTCAACTATTAGTCAAGTCTGATAACTGTAAAAGGAAATGCCGATTGTATGATAACCCATGAAAGAGACTTCTATGCCAGTTTCACACCCTTCTGCTCATTTAACTCACCACCAAGCAGCTACACTACAGCAAAGCACCCCAAGCTTCGTTGTGGGAACCTCATGCGCCATCCACTCACCTTGGGGCTTTCCGAGAGGTAGTACATGAGCCAATAAAGCCTGAGAACCATTACTCTGTGTTGGTAGCTACCTCCCTCCTAGTCATACTTCAACATGATCATCTAGAGACGTCCTACCACAAGAGCATCCATCAATCCAGTAACACTGCACGACAACCTACATTCATAGAAATTCCATGTTTGCACCATTCCAGAATATGAAGTCCACCTTGCCTATAATAACGTCATGTTCATGTTTTCTTTCTGTTTTTTTTTTTTTACCAGCTGACTTCAGAATAACTTTATCAGATATCTCAGAAATCCTGCCACAAGTTGCCTGAATTCACATTCCTCCTCGTAACAAGCTCTAGACAAACCACTTGTAGAAGCTGATGCCATATTCGAGGTTACTAAAATCAAGAGCAGGCTTAATTAGCAAGGTATCTGAACATCTACTACTTTCAATTAGCAATACTCCTCCAGCGTGAGCCATTGCCAAAAAACACCCCAAAGGTAGCAAGTCACTCACCAGCCTGATAAAGCCAAAGCCTTTGTCCTTGTGTATGAAGACTTCACCTGCCTTGCCATACTTCTCAAATAACTTTCTCATCTCTTCCTCTGTAATATCTGGGGGCAGATTCCCCACAAACAGGCGGCTTCTTTGGGTGAACGTCTTTTCACCAGGTTTCCGGAAATTCTTCAGGTCAATAGTCAGGCCTTCATCTGAGGGGAATAAGGTACACAGCTGCTCTACAGTTGGGGGGATAAATTCTATTAGGTTTCATCACAGTGAACACAGAGACATAGGACAATATAGGTAATACCCCCCATTCACTTTGGTCTCAAACCTTTCCAGTCATCTCTACAGGAACAAAGAGATTTTATTTCAGAATAGGCCCATATTCTTTTTAAAGAAAACAGGTGCTTGGACCTCAGTGCTTATTAACACCAATGAAAGTCTAGAACTGGAGAACAAAAGAACACTCCAGCTTGAAATAATGTGAGAGATTTCACCCAACTTTTGGAGATCTGGTCAAGATGACTGTCCAGTAACAAAATCAACTGTAGTCACAATATAGGATTTTGCTATTACAACCTGAATAATTATAGAAAACCCACGGTTTGGCCAGCAATCAGATTTTTACTCACAAAAAACCCCAACCCCAGATGTCTAGAAAAATATGCAAACGAGAGGAAATTTTGGCCAGACAGATAACATTTGAGATAGCTGTCATTCTTCAAGATGGGATTTGGGTTCTACAGTCTTGGGTTCCAAGCTGAAAAGAAGGCTGGAATGGTGAAAATAGTGAAAAAACACCCCAAAATCCAGCCATATAGGTAAGACCTCACAAAAATTACAAAGTTCACTACAGAAGTCTATATTCAGTAAGTAATGCTGTATCTAACACTAACAAACAGGACAGATTGTAGGAACGTTCTCACATCCCCACATGCATATACAATCTTTAATCCTTAATTCAGAAAGAGTCCAGCAGGACCCTGGAAGCTCTGCTATAAGCCAGACACGGGGATGGCTTTATCCTCACTTTTACCTTCCAGTATCCCATTTTCTTAAATGTATACGGAACTTCCTCACACAGGACAGCAAGCCATAGAAAGCAATTCCTTTGCTTTGCAGAGGACACACCTTACAGCCACACACAGGACATCAACTATGAACGAGTGGCACGATTCAGGCTACAAAGCATGGCACTACTCAGGAAAGGCTATTCACACAAAGACGATGCATACAAGGCATGCAAGACATGCAAGGACAGCTCTTTTATATTTTTTAGAACACCTCCACAGCTACCACTAAAAAAAAAAAAAAAGACTGACAGTATATCTATAGAAGAGTAGTGAGAGTAAGTTATGTTTCACATAGCAAAGGTACATAAGTGGAGTGTTTTGTCTTATGAACTTCTTCACACCATTATCAGAAGTATTTGGGGATCAACTGCAAGGCCCATCAATACACTAGGAGGGACTTAAGGCAGAGTTATATCTTTATCACTGTTCTGCCTTAAGTAGATCCACTCAAAGGAATCTGAGATACACTCACTCACTATAATCTGATCCCTGTGAGAATACCACAATACAGTTGTTTTGTTGTATTGTTTCCAACTTGACTGGAAATAGGTGCCACCTTTGTCTATTACCTTCTATGAAGTAATAAAGAGCCTGTTTAACAGGGCTACCTAATAAAAATATGCAGGAATTTTTTTACTAGCCCAGTATCTCTGCATGTGTGTGTATATAGTTAAACTTGCAATTTTGACACACAAAGAAAACCCACAGAAGAATCATGAAAAGTGCACATGTGACTTCTATACACTTTTGTTTTGAACAACCAAAGTGTCCAAACTTAAATAAATAAATAATATAT